TGTGTATTAAGTGGTCAAATTATTAGGGTATGTTTGGTTCAAACATTGAAATCAAAATGTATTTCACTTCTTAGCAGTAAATGTATAGTGTTTTTAGAGACGATTTAGCTACCATTTAAATACAATATCTAGACTTTTTGTTGTGGTGATGATTAATGAAATCATCTCCAATAATTCAATAAAGAGTAATTTATTTTAAAAAAAAAATCCAAAGCTTTAAAGAGTAAGAAAAGAAATAAAATATTACTTCGGAAGCTACTTTGGAATTCTGGTACTCTGGAAGCTTTTGAATGGGGCAAAGGGGGGAGGGGGGGGGGGGAATTATAATATTAATAAAACAAATTTTGTTTTTGGATGGAATAAAGGGGGGCCAATTTTTTTTTTTAATATTAATAAAACAATTTGTGGGGGGGGGGGAGGGAAATGGGGTAGGGGGCAAATTCATAGTGTTCTTAGAGACGATTTAACTACAATATATAGACTTTTTGTTATGGTGATGACGGATAAATTCATCTCCAATAATTCAATAAAGAATAATTTATTAAAAAAATCCAAAACTTTAAAGAAATAAAAAATTACCTTGGAAGCTACTTTGGAACTCTGGTACTCTGGAAGCTTTTGAATGGGGCAGAGGGGGAGGGGGGGCGAAAAACATTATAATATTAATAAAATAAATTTTGTTTTTGGATGGAATAGAGGGGCCAAAAAAAAATTTAATATTAATAAAATAATTTTTTTGGGGGGATGGGGGTGCAAGGCCCCTGCAACCACAAGGTGGCTCTGTCTCTGGGTAGGATGGAATTGTAATTCCATTCCTACCAAACTTTATGGAATTACAATTCCATAGTTTGGTTGGACGGCACTGCAATTTTCTCTAATAATGAAAGTGTAATTCCATGACAAATGACTATGTTACCCTTATTTTTATTATTATATTCTCTTATTTTCATTATTATATTAAGGAATAAGGGTCAAATAGGCTATCGAACTACACACAAAGATGCAATTAAGTCATTGAACTCAAAAAACATGCAATTGGGTCCGTAAACTAACCAATTCAATGCAATTAATCCAATTTACAGGCTAGCGACCACCCATCTCTCTCTCCTTTCCTCTCTCGATCAGCGAGCAGCAGGGCGAGAAAGAGCAGCGAATCTGACGGTTGGCGAAGCTTGACGACAATAGCAGGAAGGTCGGTGAGCTCCGCAGCGGATTCGACATTCCGACTTCCTCTGTTTCCGGCGTGACTGGCAGAGCGGCGGATTCGGTGGCTTATCCGGCGAGTGCAGAACAAAGCCTCCTGCAGTGGCGGTGGCTGAGCAGACTTCTTCCTCTATCTGGCGTGAGCTTGGACGCCGTGACCGGAGCTCCGGCAGTGGTGGATGGGTCTTCCTTCGACGACGGCAGTGGCATGAGCTTGGAGTTTCTTCGTCTCGGCCAGTTTCTTCGACTCCGGAAGACAGGATTTTTTTTTTTAATAATTAGTTTTAAATTATTACGGAGTATTTTTAAAAAATATTTTAAATTTCGGGTGACCTGTTAGAAACATAAAAAACCTGCAAATTGAACTAATTGCATGAAATTGGTTAGTTTAGGGACCTAATTACATGTTTTTTTGAGTTCAATGGCCTAATTGTATTTTTGTGTCTAGTTCGATGGTTTATTTGACCCTTATTCCTTATGTATTAATATTATACAATGACATTTTAGTCTTTATTCACTTATTCTCTTTCAATTCCCATCATTATATTCATGTCTACCAAACAATGTAATTTACATTTCATGGACAATGATTTTTTTCATTTTTTCTTCCTTATTTTTTGTTACATTCTTTAAAAGTAGATGAATAAAAGGGTAATTGGTTTTGTAGTTACTAAAGATATTCGTAAAATAACAAAAGTAAGCAAACAAACATAGTAATATAGCAAACAAACAAACAACCCAACATGGTAGCTCAAGTAGCAAATGAGCTCTCTTTGTGGGGAAGAATTCCAGGAGAACTTAAGTTCAATTTTCACAAGTGACAATTCCTCGAGCGAACGGGGATTCGTCAAGTGGACCTGGACCGTTAAACGGACAAAGAAAGACCTAGACCAGTGTACACCAAAAAAAAAAAAAGTAATAATATTCTTTATTATGCTTTACAAGAGCAAGGAACTAGATGCTGACTTGCGTTTAATCTCGGGCAAATTATTGTGTGAATTATGAATATCAGGTACATTATTTTTGTACTGAAAGTACATTATATTAAAAATGTACTTTCAAAAAATGTACCTTACGTACATAATTAATGTACCTTTAGTATATTGAAAATGTACATTTTATTTATGGTCCACACAAATTGTGTGGACCATAGTTCCATAATGATTGTAATCTTGCGCCACCCATTTAGCTCAAATTTGTTAGCTAGGGCTTAGCACAACTAGGAATTGTATGGTGGTTTCAATCGGAAACAATTATCTTGGATTCATGAATTATGGTTTATTTTACATTATGAACTCTAGTTTAAAAAAATTATGTGCTTATAGCTAAACTTATTATGTATCTACAATTAACAGTTTATATGTCTGTATTACCATTTGATATTTATTTACAGGCAATAAACAATGAATTGCAAGTATTTATAGAATACATTAACAGCAGACACATAAACTGTGAAGTTATTTTAGACCGTGAAATAATTTGCCAACCAAAAATTATAGAAAATAAATATTAAATTAGTCCTCGAAATGTCATTGTTAGTGGCATCGAGAGAGTTACATTGGACACTTGTTGAGGATACAATTTTACAATAGATGATGGTTTTTTTTTTTTTTTTTTTTTTTTTTTTTTTTTGAAGGTAGAGATGATGGTTTTTAATTAACTCTTTTGAGGCAACTTTAATTTTGTGATTAAATTAAGGTTTTGGCTTAAATATTGTACCATTGGTATTTTTGTTGAGAAGACGATGAAAGCTATTTAGAGTTAGAGTTGTCCGCTATTATGATGTCGCAAAAGACCCTTTCCAAACAAGCGATTGAGTAACTTAAAAAAGAATTATTCGATGCTTAATACGGTTCAAAGGGAAGTCATGCAATCAAAAAAGAGCTACTTGATACTAAAAAGAACCTAGAGTATCAATCGACGTTTAAATGCTACTGACTCTTATTACAATGTAGTATCTATTCATAACTACTTTCTCAACTTACTGAAACACAAAGATCAATAACGTCTCTACTGAGGCTTAAACTCACAACCTCATATATGGGAGTCCAACCCGGGTGCCATCTGTGCACAAGATGATTCGCAAGTTAATTATCAAATTTAGTCAATTTAAGATTAAAAATGATATAATTAAGACATTAAGACATCAAAACTAAAATTAACCCAAAAATAAATATATATATAAAAAAAACATATACAAGTATTTCAGCCACGTTTTAAATATGAAAACATCATTGTAAAGAATGAGATATATGATTCAAATTACAACATTGAAAACGATTCAAATGTGTGAGACTAGGGTGAAAAGGAGAGCAGTGGGCTCTAATGCTCTATTGTGTCTCTACTCTCCTAGATAAAAGATGTAAATCAATTTAAATTGTTCTGATTCGCTCAAAATTTCAAATTGAGAAAGTCAATATCAAACTAATTAACTATTCAATCAACATGGCAAAAAAAATTGTCCCTAAATGATCATTTTACCTTCCTTTAAAAAAAAAAAAAAAAAAAAAAAAAAAAAAAAAAAAAAAAAAAAACATAGGTGAAATGATCATTTTACTTATTTGGATGAGTTGGGTCAGAGAGTATATAGTTCATCACTTCAACTGCAAAACTTTTAACTAGATGGTAAAGGTTTGGGTGGTGTAATTAGAGTAATCTAACTATATATACTATTTTTTTTTTTTTGAAATAATAATGGTGTATTATTAAATGAGCATAGAAATAGAATCAGGAGGGACAGAGTCCCAGTACAAAGCTTGGTCCTGATCAAAAGCTAACGAAGTTAAAGTATGAGCAGCTAAAGTTAAAGTTCTAGTGATGTAATTTAAAGAACAATAATCAAAAGACGATATAAGTGTCCTGCACTGGTCAGCAATCATTTCAATGTAGGATAAAGTAGTCCTTGAGCTTGAGTGTATGATGTTCCGTAGCTTCATGCAATCAGTAAGTAGATCCACTTCAAGTGTATTGTGCTCCTTAAGCCATGAGAGAGCCTCCTTACAAGCTAATGCTTCTGCCATGAGAGGCGAAAAAGCACCAAGCAACTTGCCACTTTTTGCCGCCACAAAAGAACCATCGTGGCCTAGTAAAACCATCCCATACGTCGCATCTCCCGTGATTTGCCTGTAGCCAGCATCTACCCAACATTTCATCCTGGGGTGTGTGGGGGGCGTCGACACAGCCGAGGGAGCCGAGGGTGGCGATCTAACTATACTATTTAAATATCACTATATTTTCAAAAAAATGAAGACTAAGATCTAGTATATTTGGAGAGAGTGGTGAGATGTTTTTTAGGCGATCGTCTATCATTTTAATTATAATTTTTTTTTTATACCACACTGCTCCAATCTTAGCACTTTCTCAAAAGCTAAGAATCATATATATACCCTACACGATGGACGAGATCAATCAAAAGGGTAGGTCAAGACCTTCATATACAAAAATCATATTTAACTCTTCTAGTCACTCCTTTGGGAGTTTCAGAGCTATCCTTATAGTCTGCTGATTAGTGGTTCTTATATTTTACATTACGATTAACTCAAAATGAACTTATTGTTAAGGATATCTGTGGCTGACATATTTTTGTATATAATTAAATCTAGTTGCATTCCTTTTATGTAGCATTGTTAGACTGGTTGTTACAACAACCTGCTAACTACTCATTATCTTCTCTCCCTTGTATGCTATTTAAAGCTTATTGTTTTACATCAATAATATCAGTTGAGTTCATAATCTATTATGGTATCAAGAGCCTAATTTCTCCTACGAAGTTTTTTTTTTTTTCCTTCCTCTTCCAAATGGCTTCCGCTACTACAATCACAATAATCCAATTAAATGCCCCAACACACTTCCCAATTAAACTCACAACCGTGAATTTTCCGGTGTGGCGGCGTCAAATTCATGCCACACTTGTTGGGTTTAATCTCTTTGGCTATGTTGATGGTACAACCAATGAACCAACTAAATTCACTGATCCTGCTCAAACTTCTGTCAACCCGGCTCATTTAGCTTGGTATCGTCAAGACCAAGTTATTGTCAGTGCTCTACTTGGGAGCTGTACTGACACCATACAGCCCCTTATCTCCTCAGCTACGACAGCCCATGATGCGTGGCAACGTCTCGTTGCTAGTTACGCCAGTGCCTCACAAGGACGTATCATATCCCTCAAGGCCAAACTCACAAGGAATCCACGAGGGTCTCGGTCCATCACCACTTATCTCAATGACATGCGAGCCATAGCTGATGATTTAGCGTTGGCTCAGTGTCCCGTATCTGACGAAGACCTACTCGTCTATGTATTGACTCAGCTAGGCGAGGATTACAGTTCCATCACATCGGCCATCCGCGTTCGTGAGAAGCCTCTTTCTTTTGGCGAGTTGGCGGCTGTGCTGACTGACCATGAACGCCAATTGAAAGATGCAGATGCTTTGCGTCAGTCCTTTTTTACTACTGCTAATGTTACTCAACGCACCTCGTCACCCCCGCGGCGCAACCACCAGTCCAACACCAACCGGAGGGCCCGCAACAATAACAATCATTATGGCTCTAATCGGCAACAAGGGGAACACAATCGCTCAGGTATCGTCTGTAAGTTTTGTTATCTTACGGGTCATGAAACAAGGGTGTGTCGCAAGCTAGCCCGATTTTTGAAGGAGCATGATGTTCCTCCTGTGCAATCCTATGTATCTCCTACAGCCAATTCGATGACTGGGGCTTCTCCTCCCTGGATGTTTGATAGTGGGGCGTCGCACCATGTGACACCAAGCCTCGCTCCTCTGCAGACTTTCACCGAGTATAGTGGATCGAATGAAATACGCCTGGGTGACGGTAATTCTTTACAAATATCCCATATTGGTCAGTCTGTCATTCACACTCCTTCTAATGTTCATCGAACAAATGCATATGAAAAAATTATCTCAACGCATAGCTTTGTTCACAAAATTTGTAAACTCCCTAAGTTTAATTTGAGAGAAACTACATCCAATTACGTCTCACACTATAAGTCAATGATGTTGAGACAATTGTAATTATATGATCGCAACTTATAAAGGCTGGTGGGTCAAAAAAGTAAAGTCGTCATGATTTTAAATTGCTCTTTGAGGATGACAAAGACACAACCAAAGTTTGGAACATCTGAATCTGAGATTATTAATTCATTGTTGAAAGCAACCCAGATTTAATATGTTTGAAATTTAAATTTGTGGGTCATCACTGCTTTTTTTTTTTTTTTAATTGATAGAAAAAAGTAAAATCGCCAGGTCCCAAATGTTTGTACACTAGTGCATACAATAAAGTCAAATTCATAACTCACTTTTTTAATTTTTGGTAGTATTCAAACCCTACACTTTGCAGTTGTCTGCAAAGTAAAATATATGAATTTATTTTGAAGATCAACACTCCTAAATTAATCATTGTTTTAGAAGCTAATTTACCAAACATCTTTTTACAATCAGCTAATGTTATCAATTAGTCAAACCTACTAACTCAATCAACTAACAACTATTTACCAAACACCCTCATTATGTATTTTTTTTAATCTCAAACCTTTTTTATAGGTATCTTGAGTGACTTACTTAGATCAAAGAAAAATCACCTCACTTATTATTGCTAGCCACACAATCTATGGAGGCTTTTGTCTCAATAACCTTGACCAAATAAATAATTTCATAATTTTCCAACAACATACATATATACACACTCTTATAGAGAATTTTTTTTTAAAAAAAAAATTATTTTGGTATCATCATATATAAAACGAAAATAGAGGCCCTTTTAAGAAAAAATAAAAATTAAAAACCTATTTTCGTCATTTTTTTTCAATTACTAGATAAGATAAAAATACTTTCAATCTTTTCATATATTTTAGAATGGAGGCATCAGAATAAGAGGTATCGAACAATTTTGATGTGTGTGTTGAGGTGTCCTATCCATGATTTTATGTGGTCGGAAGATTCATAGTCATCCAAGCATGGACTACTTTAATTAGAACATTTGATTAGACTAAACAACATTAAAATCACCAATTAAAGATTTTAAGTGAGATTCGTTGTTGAATAGGTTATCCCTAAGAGGCCCAGAGGTCCTTTCATGTATTCTGGTTAGGTTTAAAGAAATTTTAATTATTCAATTCTATATAAAATAATATAAATTATATTAATATTTATTTGTTTTAAAATGCTTACTTTTACGTGACAATTTTATACCCTAATTATTATGCAGAACACTTGTCATTTTATTAAAGAATTTTTTTAAAAATATCATAGGAAAATTTTTTTTTGACAAAAATCATAGGAAAATTTAAAACTTGTAAACACAAAATTTAATACTCCGTATATGTGAGTCACGTTACTCATTAATTACTTGAGATCGATTCGATTCAATTCAATGAATGTTAATTTAGACAATTAAGTTTGCAATAATTAATGTGTAAATGTAAAAATTCGAAAAGGAAGATCATCAAGGTATCACTTAACTCTTCTTTTTTTTTTTTAGTATGCAACATTTGGTATTTTTATTACTGTAAAAGTGTGAAACTATTCGAGATTTGGCTCGAGTTACACTTTCAAAATTCAACTCTTCAGTATCCCCACCACTATGAGATAGTCTAGATTACGTTTGCAAAGTTTCAATATCCGTATGACCACCACCATGAGATAAAGGTTCGGGTTACGTTTGTAGAGTTTGGCTCTTTAATATCTCCACCACTATAAGACTATCTAATCCAAATTCGATTCAAATTATGCCGGTAAAATTTGACTATCTAGTAATTCCACCCACAATTATAATTGTATCAATATTAATATTTCACTTACCAACTGCTAGTCAATTTAAATTTAATTTAAAATATTCACACTCGACTGAACTCAATTAAACCCATAATTAAAAACATGGATGTGAAATGTGGAAAGAAGTTCCGATCCATTGTTTAGTTCCAAATCGGATGGCCATTGGATTTTGACACAACACCTGAAAATAAGATAAGATTCCTCAATAATTGTGAAATAATCCATTGTAACCAAACATTTGTCACGGGCATTTACCTTGTCGGCAATCAACAGTCAACACCATTTTTTTTTTTTTTTTCCTTTTGAGACTTCCCTATCCATGTTTATTACCTTGTTTCTGACCAATGTACAAAGCAATCTTATTCAATCATAAGGAAAGGTAAGCATCGATCAATTTTAGTGTGTTATTCATGTAGTGGATCTTTTGCCTCTTAAATTACCTCAATAGTAAGCCTTGGAAAACGGATTGATAATCAAGGCTTGTGATATATATATATATATATATATATATATATATATATATATAGAGGGATGTTTGGTAATAACTGTTAGTTGTTAGTTGATTGGGTTTAGTTGATTGGATTAGTAGGTTTGATTAGTTTATAGCATTAACTGATTGTAGAAAGATGTTTGGTAAATTAGTTGTTAGCTGATAGCTGATTACATGTAAAATAACTTTTTTTAAAATTTATTGAAAAAAAAAATTATTTTGAACAGCTTTTTGAATTTTAGCATTTTAGAACAATAAATTGTTATGAAAAGCTAATTAATCAAACATTTATATTGAATATTTAATCAAGTTAAGTAACTAATAATGGTCAAATGAGTCAAAATTGACTGATAGGTTGAAAATTGAACATATAAATCATAACTGACATAATTAAAAATTGTGAGCAATCAATTATATTTAACCAAATGTTTTACCAATGCCTCCTACAGTCCTAGACTCCTTAAAGTAGTGTTGCTATTATTAATAGTCAATTTAGGATCGATGTTATTCACAACCTCAATAACCTTAACCGGCAATCGGTTGTTATTACCATGTTAAGTTGGAATACTATCTTGAGTGGATAATATAATGAACTTTTTTATTGAGTTAATAATTATATTTTTTTTTTCAATTGATTATTGAATTCTTTTCAAAAAATTTGATAAGGGACCAAAAAATCAAAATGACTTACATTTTTTGAACTACATAACTGAAACCGATCTGAAAATTAAAATTTTAGATTATCAATTAGCAGTTTTCTATCCATCCCTTTTTCTGCACATCCCTAATCATACGGTGGATAATATTTGATCCTTTTTTTTTCTCCTTTCCCTTCCAACCAATCATGCAAGTTAAGATATGAAGTGGGAGAAGAAGTTAAGATATGAAATCAACAATAATAGTGTCTAAAAAAATGTTTTGTTTTGTTTAAATTAGATTTGGTAACAACTTTGGAAACCCGTGGTCAATTTCCGAGTATATGTATTGGGTAAATTAAACCTCATGTGTAAAGCCCGTAAACCACACATAAGAGGTAAATTGCACTAAAAAAAAAAATTATGCGTGATGTGCTCGATCAAAAAAATGTTTAAAATAATCAAAATTTATAATTTTCTTGTATGAAAATCATATTTCATCTACTCGACTATTCATTTGAAACATATATAACTCTATATATGGACTTTTTTTTTTTTTTTTTTTTTTATAATGAGGGAAAACCCCACAACCGTTTCAACTTTCGTGTGTGAGTAAATCTCACCTTGTGACCCTAACCGACAAAGGATCACAAAGAAGTGAATCAACCTAGGTTACCTATAGCTGACCGGCTCAAACCAAGACGCAAGGATTCAAACTCGTGATCGATCACACATAGGAGGTAAATCGCACTAGAAAAACCATGTGTGACGTGCTCGACCAAAAAAATGTTAAAAATAATCAATATTTATTTATTTCTTGTATGAAATTAAAATCATATTTCATCTACTCAACTATTCATTTGAGACATAACTCTATGGACTTTATTTTTACGACAAGGGAAACCCCACAACCGTTTCGAGTGCAAGTAAATCTCGTCTTGTGACTCTAGCCGACAAAGGACCATAAGAAAGTAAATCATTCTAGGTTATCTATAACTGACCGGCTCAAACTAAAGAGACAAAGATTCAAACTCGTGATCTTGTGATTACAAATATGAATCTCTTGCTATCTTGACTGAGGTTATCCCGTACCCAGTACCCCTATGTACCTTTGGTATGGTGGTTGGTGGTGGAATCTTAAACAAGGGCCCCTACAAAGATTTGAGCGGAGAACGGAGGGTAAAACCGGTGGGCCGCCCGGTGACTACGTACGGCGGCTTAGGATTTGCCGACGTTTAACTATTTCTCCATATATACACGTGATGTTTCATTGATTTCAAAGCGATTTGCAGATGTACTTGGTTTCGTCCTAGAAAGTGGAAAAGAGAGACCAAACAACGAAGGAACCATGGGCCCCATGATGAACAGATTACATGCATGCATAGGAATAGGGAAACTTTGTCAAATACGATAAAATTTCTTGGCATCACAATTAATATAAAAGGAAAGGAATAAAATTAATTTGGACAATTTGTATAATGTGGATTAGCATTAATTCTTTTGTATCATATATAAACATGCATGTTATTTGAATTATACCGAATTATATAATACTTATTTTTATCATATCCAAGACAATCATATCACACGTTAAAAAAAGTGTACTCGATATTGATTTCTTTAAAATATGTGGTCTACCTTTTTTTTTTAATCAATTACATGGATCGAGAATGAAAAAATTAAGTAAAAAATGAAAGGTATTAATGTATTATTCATATTTAATCCTTCCGCATCTATACATCAAGAAATTTATATATTTCCCTGCTGCTTAGTTCATTGATTCAGTAAGCAGTATTTGGAGAAGAAGTGTGGAGATTATGCTCAAAGTGAGACATTTGGTCATGTCTGATTACATTATAAGATAACTCACACTAAAAATATTAACAAAAATTAAACTTGTAACTTTTATATACCTAAAATATGCTCTACCTAGCTACCTCTAAACTAATATTTTACTGCATTAAATTGTATATTTTTAAAGGAGTTAATTCCAGCAATGGTCCTCCGACTATAATGATTTTTCAAAATTAGTCCCCGACTTTTAATTTGGACACTTTAGATTCCTTGACTTTCAATTTCTTTCCAATTGAGGTCCTTTCGTTAGAATACGGTTCATT